CACGGTTTTGTTCCTCCCCCACTGAAGAAAAAGGCCTATGCAAGGTAAGAGGAGTCAGCTTGCTTATAAGGTGGGAAAGTAGTCCCTCACAGACCGATGTGGAATTCCCCGCACATTAGCCCCCAGCCACGCTGGCTCCGGCACCGGCGCAATACCTCTAGATGCCGAAGGGAGTTCCCACAGACGGCGCCAAATAAAGCAACCACTCCCCGTTCTTTGCACATATTGTCTGCTTTGGCGAAGCCCGCCTCACGGTTTTGTTCCTCCCCCACTAGGGAAAAAGGCCTATGCAAGGTAAGATGAGCCAGCCTTCTTATATGGTGGGAAAATAGTCCCTCACAGACCGATGTGGGATTCCCCGCACATTAGCCCCCAGCCGCGTTGGCTACGGCACCGGGGCAATACCTCCATATGCCGAAGGGAGTTCCCACAAACGACGCCAAATGAAACAACCACTCCCCGTGCCTTGCACATATTGTCCGTTTTGGCGAAGCTCGCCTCACAGTTTTGTTCCTCCCTCACTGGGGGAAAAGGCCTATGCAAGGTAAAAGGAGCCAGCCTACTTATAAGGTGGGAAAGTAGTCCATCACAGACCGTTGTGGGATTCCCCGCACAAGAGTCAAAATGTTTTTTTTTTTTTTTAAACTTTTTCTGTTTAAATATGATAGTATGAGGTAAATTGATATGATTTCAAAAATGTTGGGTATAAAATTGAAATTATTAGAAGTCTGGAGGTGTAATTGATCATTGAGGCAAAGTTTGGGAGGTAAAATGAAATTTTCTTATGAGAACTTTAACGATTGATTCTTATTAGTCTATGCATTAATTGTATATTAGAGAGAGAAAAATCAGCCATGTAGGGCAATTTTTCTCTCTTTATTCCATTCTCTCTTTGGTTCGTCTCTCTCAAGGTTAGTACTATCTTTCCAGTCGACACTTTCTCCTTCTCTGTCCTTTCCCCAATAGATGTAGCAAACCCAAAAAAAAGCATTTGACTAGAATATGAAATCTATGACTGAGATTCATTCATGAAGTAGGCCCACAACAATAAGATTAAGGTCGTATTTGGGTTAGTTTTCTAAAAAATCCAAAACCCCAATATATTGATTTGTGATTATATTTAAATTCTAAACAATAAATAACAATCCCAATCAAATAAACCAAAACAAATCGACACAACGATTTAACGTGAAAAACCCACAATTGGAGCACCTCCAATTGTGATAAAAAAAATCATGGGCCAAAGCCGCAAAACAATCCGCTAAGAAGACAAAAAAGAATTACACAAGTGTACCTTCAATTACCTAGTGAATCCACACCCGAATTGAACAAACCCCAATGTGTCTCGTCCACTACCGTTTTCACCTTGGAATTTTTTTGCCCAATGCTAAATCCATAACGCTGATGTCGAATATACGACGATGAGGCATTTTGGAATCCACCAAAGCTTTAGGCCCAAGTTCTCCAGAATCCACCGAAGAACAACTTTCTCTTTTGTAAATAACAGAAAACAAACAAACCTTTGATCATGTTGAGATAAAGTTCACGGATCCATTGATCACTCTTAAATCATCAAGGAAACACTCATAAAACACTCTTCAATATAAAATAATTTGTTTTTTCTTCCTCTCTGAAAATCTAGACGGCTCAAACTCTAAAAACAACAAACTGCGCACTTTATAGTAAATTGAATCACACAAACCACTCGAGCGCATACTTCACTGCTCAAACGGTGTGAGTAAAGGCGGTAAAAAAACATATAGGCTGACCGTTCGAGCGCAACATTCACTGCTCAAGCGATAAAACTTGTTTCCTAGGAGTTCAGGCGTTCTGCAAAAATACTGGATGATCCTTTTCTTCGTTCGAGCACATAAATGACTACTCGAGCGATCAAATAATTTTGACTATATTTTTTCTTTTTCATTTTTGCTTCGGAAGCATTGCCCTTCGATCCCGCCTGGGCACTGTCTAGAACCCGCAATGGGACACTGTCCCTTAGATCTCCACGAGCTGACCCCGCAACTCGATCCTTGTACATAGTTAGCAAAGTGGCAAACATGAAAAGATCAAGATCTCAAACTACTCTGCATGGGCATAATTTAAGTTGGATTCGCATCTAAACACTCACATTCTCACTAAAACTTAAGAGCGAATAAAATTACAACTGAAATGAGTTTTATCAAGCGGGATTGTCAATTATAAAAGCCTAACATTTTCAAATCAATTTTTGAGAGGTCAGAATTAAAATTTCTTTCGTTTACAATTTTTTTCAAAATTGTTTTCAGTCATTTATTATATCTCTTCTCTCCTTCTCTCATATCATACACATCACTCAATTATTTTTTCTTTCTCATCTCTTATTCTCTCACATCCTATACATCAATCAATCACTTTTTGGTTCCACAGACTTTTCCCTCCTCTCTCGAGCAGGTGTCCTGTCATCTCCCTTCTTCTCTCTCACGGTTAAGATCTCACCATCCATCTAGTTGGGTTGTGTACGTATTATGTCCACCATCTTTTTGAAAGAAAAATATGCAACAAAGATAGGGGGACGCTTAACCCAACCAAAAGAGGTGGAGGATGTTGGGATTTGAATACACATTGAATCCGTAAACTCTATAGATATTGAAAATTATGAATCATACCCCAAAAAAAAAAAAAAAAAAAAAAAAACTACAAAAAACACGGATACAAGGTTCATCAACATGCCTATGTTCTCGGGAGCCACACCAATTCACTATATTGATTATAGAATTACAGACTATTTTTTCACCGTTTGCACTCTCTGAAAACTGCAACAACCTCTCTTTTTATCTAACCCTAAAACATGTACAATGTTACATGATATAGGGTAAAGCCGGTAGGGCCTCCGGTGCGTCGTGACCCCCCCTTAAGCTTGGGCTCCCTGGTGAAGGTTGTCTGCATACCCAACAGAGGACTGAGGTTAGAGAAAGGGGGAATAAGAAGGAGTACTAGTATCAAAGTGTCATTGAAAAGCTTTAGCCTTGATGGTGTAATGACACTTGCAAGTGTCACTAAGGTGCTACTAATATCTACTGTGGTATGAGTGTAAATGACATTTATTGAAAACGCTACGTACAAGACTAGAAAATGCCACTAGAGAAGTAGTTTTGTGACACTTTCAAGTGTCACTGAACTAAGAAAATGTTGTAGTGGGTATATGAGGGCTTGGAGTAGGATGCTAGTATAATGGAACTAGAATTATACACGAGCTGAGTTGAGTTAAGTTTTGGAGTGTTCAAAGCTCAATTTGCTAAAAATTTTAGTCGAACTCAAATTAAGTCAATTTAGTTACATAAATAAGTCAAGCTCAAAGAATTGAACTAAGTTCAAGTCAATTTAATTATATAAAATAGACTTACGTATAAGTCTTAATAAGTAGACTCATTGTCCAATAGGTCTTATGATAATTAGCAACAACTTATAACAAGCATGACCAAAAAAAAAAAAAAAAAGATCACTAATTGTCAATTTTTAGCGATGTACAAAAAATTGTCACAAAAAATTATTTTTAATGACGATTTTATAAGGATTTATTTTTAATAAGACTTGATGGGAATTAAATCCAACTATTATGACATATTGATAGTTTACCCTTATATTATATATATATGAGCCGAACTTGAGCTCCAGCTTAAAAAAATTAAATTTATACTAATATATGCACATTAAGGGAAAAATTACAAATTAAAATAATGAGCAAACTATTAAAAAAAATTAATGTTATTAATACATTTTATCAATAAAATATGTAAATTTATATAAAATACCAATGATACAAAAAGAAATAATATAATTTTAAAAAATACATATTTAATAATATTAAAAATATACATTAATTTAGAAAATGGATATACAAACTCACTTTCTAGACCTAATGATATGTAAGTGAGATAATTGGGTTTTTTTTTTTTTTTTGGAATTGAAATGAGATAATTGATTGATAATTAGAGAAGATACAATAGAGACGGTAGATAGAGAGAAAGTGAGTGATCTTAAATATTTTAATTGATTGACAAATTATTGTATTTGAAAAGCAATGCCCATTAATATATGAGTGATGCTATACTTATATGTTGTTGTGTTTATGAGCCTAATTGAACCACGTTTGAGCTTTACTTGAACTCGACTTAATTAGTAAATGAATTTAAAATTTTGACTTGAATTCATTCATGTAGGGAACAAGTCCAACACTAAAAAACAATCGAGTAATACTTTAGATAGTATTACTCTGCTTTCATATAACATTTATAGTGCATATTAAATTATCGAGTTCAATTAAAAAAATTAAATTTTTTCAAATTTTGTTTAAAATTATAAATATTGTAATCTAATCTAAAACGATTTTGCTTTTGAAAATTTCAACGCAAACACAATTGAAAAATTGTAAATAAGTGAGACATTCTTAAAATAATTGCATTATAAGTAGAAGGGTAATTTACACTTACACTTTCTGAGGTTTGAGTTTAATATATATCACCTCCTAACATTTAAAAAATTATACTAATCCCCTGTCATTATAATTATTTAGACAGAATAAAAACATTGAACTCATACACTCTCTCTTTTTTTGTTTTAGTTTACTTTCTCTGTTTTTTTTTTTCCTTCCCTTTGCTTTAATTTTTTTTTAATGTAAATTTTTTTTATTTTTTTACTAGGAGTTATTATCTTTTATATAAGTTGAGAGTTTGTGAAGTAACACTATTAACTACAGGGATAAGAATATAATTTTCAAAACATCAATAGGTGAGATGTAATTGAACCAAAGGTGTTAATGTAATTTATCCTAAGTAGAATATTTTTTAGTATAAATTTGATATACCAAAAAAAAACTTGTACCATTCATACAAAAAAAACTTACAATACCATAAAAATGAAATTATTTCCCCACCAGTCCACTGAAACACAATTTGTCTATAAAAACCCTACCCCAGTTAAAGCCTGCCCTGGAAGAGTGACGCAATTTGCAAGACAGCTCATCAAGAAAATTCCAATTAGGCCACATTCAAAGTGACCATTTTCATTTGCCATCACCAAGTTCTTATCACATGAACCTAAAGCAAGTAAACAAGAAAAACAAAAACAAAAACAAAAAGACATGCACACAAAAACAAATTTAGCATTAATTAAAGCTCATGAGCTCTTCTCCTATGGTCGGACGATTTGTATCTGCTGCTGATGTTGCATCTTCTGAAGGTTCAGCCTCGAGCATGACCGGACCATCTCTCCGGCAAGCGGGATCACTGGGATGTTATCGCAATTGCATATCTCGATCATGAATCCATCTGGGTCGTGGAAGAACAGTTGATCAACGTAAATTCCACCTTCCTCTACCCGCTGCCTCACGTAGTCGATTCCCATTTCCTTCAGCTTCTTCTCCACTGCTGTCATGCTCTCACACTGCGCGATAAAATCACAATTAAAAACCTTTGCGTTCTTTCTTTTTTTTACTCAATCATAAAAATAAAAATAAATATAAAAAAGCACACACACACACTAAAATTATTATATTTATTATTTATTTATTTAAGATGATGTGACATAAAACAAACATTAGGATTGTGCTGATGATAATTAGGTTTCATGTTAAATCAAACTTTGTATACAAGCTTTACTCCAATGAATGTTGCGTATATTTCAGTTTCACAGACACAAGTCCAAATCCAAAACCCCTTCCAACCTCAGGCTGAGCTGGACTTGATTAGCAGAGTTTTGCAACAAATTATTATTATTACTTTTTGTTTTAGTATTTATTTATTTTTCAAATAACATTTAGTGTTTAATTTTTATGGTATTTCAGATTAAAAACCGTCAAAAAAATATACAATAAGTCTATGAACATGGAACAAATATGTAGACTTATTTTAGAATAAGATCAGATGTTATTTTACTAAATGAAGATAAAAAGTAATGAAAGTTGCTATTGAAAAACCCAATCAAAAGTTGTTGCCAAATGGGATAGTTGCTTAGAGTTATTTTACTAAATGAATTCCATTTTAATTTTTATTATTTTAATTAAATAAAAAAAAAGCTATTTATAGCTGAAAATATATATATATATATATATAATGTATTAATATATCTAAAAGTGCATAAAATTATAAAAATGTGCTGAAATGTGTAAAAAAATGAATTGAAATTACAAAATTTTTGTCATTTGGTGTTTATGATCCTATATATAATATTAATTTTAATTTTTAAATCTAATTTTAATTTAACGTCAAAGCACAATTTTCTCATATCAATCAGATGACATGTAAAAAAATTTCACAGTAATTGAAACCAGAGTTAAACTTCTAAAATTATTATGGTTGAAATTATGACAAGGATGAAGCTTTCTCTCCATTCCTTTAAATAGGAGTGGATAGTCATCATGGGCTAATTTTGTTTATTTTCAAACAAATGAATGTATGTTCTTAAAATTATAATTGTCATTTATTTTTTGAACATGGTTAATATTATCAACTCAATTTTTTATTTTTAAAATGATAAGAGGTTAGAAAATAAATGAATCGGATCATCAAAATAGACCCATATGATTGGATTAGATGAATTGAGTTTAATGAAAACTGAAGGATAATTCAATTTCTAAGAAGCAAAATAAAATTTGAATTATGCCTTCTTGCCTGCGTCGATCGCTGTTGTTTGCGTCTCCATTTGTAACACAATTCACAGACTTATTATTATTATCAGCATCGCAAATATTTGAAAAGTATGCCAAAAACATTAATCAATCAGTGGTAGAAATTACCTGAAAAGAAATATGATTGTCCTTTGGATCGATTTCTCTTTTCTTTGGCATGTTTTCTGGATCTTCTGACTGCAATAGATGTATTCCAATTCCATAACTGAACAGCCTATACATGATCCACACACACACACACATATCATAAAATCTTAGCAAGAAAATCAACTTCAAAACTTTTCCCGAGAAAAATTAAAAAAGTACAGAGAGTTTATATTCTAATTTCTAGGTGGGTTTGTTTCGTTTTCATATGTATGTATGCATGCATATATATCCAACTTCCAAGTTTTTATCATTAGGCTTACATAAACTAATTAAGAAAAAAAAATCATAATCGTAGCAAGAAAATCAACGTCAAACTTTTCCCGAGAAAATAAAAAGAAAAGAAAGTACAGAGAAACTTCATTATACTCTAGGCGGGTTTGTTTTCATATGTATGTATGTATGTATATATAACCAATTTCGAAGTTCTTATAAGCCTACACAAAGCAAGTAAGAAAAAAAAAAATCATAATCTTAGCAAGAAAAATCAAAATCAAACTTTACCCGAGAAAATAAAAAGAAAAGTACAGAGAAACTTCATTATATTCTAGGTGGGTTTGTTTTCATATATATGTGGGTTCTTTATTTTAAGCCTACATAAACTAATTAAGAAAGAAAAAAATATCATAATCTTAGCAAGAAAATCAATGTCAAACTTTTCCTGAGAAATAAAATAAAATAAAATAGAAAGAAAGTACAGAGAAACTTTATCATAGTGTGTTTGTTTATGTATATATTAAATTTCCGAGTTTTCATTTATCTATGAATATTATACCATGCTCCATCAAAATCAAATGAACAAGGCCTCCTCACAGGAATGAACCCAAGAATATTCTGGTAAAAATCAATGGAGTTCTCGACTGATCTACAAACAAGAGAGATGTGATTCAAAGAGGTCAGGTGCAAAGGGTTTCCCATGTTTTCCTTCATTTTTCTCGAGAAAGTTTCTGAATTTTTCCAAGAGATGAAGATAGGATTAAAGGGATCTAAGAAAGAGCGAATATCAAGCAAATGAGATACAAATTATAGAGAGAGAGAAAGAGAGAGACTAGTAGGTGAGGAGAGAGAGGGAAGATAGCAGATATTTGCGGGACTTCATGAGATGATACTGAAGGCTGTTAGAGCTGGTTCTATATAGGAGACCTGAAGGCCCACCAAGGATCCTGGAGAGTATTTTTTTTTTTAAGTTTCTTAAAGTGCTATATTGTGTGGTTGAGATTTAATGTTAAAAAATTGATGTGACTTGTTATTAAATTTCAACCACACAATGCACCACTCTAAGAAATTTTAAGAAAAAAAACAAAGATCCTTGCTCAGCCCTCTTGTTCGACACGAGTGCGTCATGAGATGTCCACATGTTGGATATACTGTGTGTCTGCCACGTAAACTGACGCATTGCTGACTCGGATCACGAGCTCTACTTCTACCTACCAGCTTGTACGGATTCAATTTGTATTCTGTAGTGTTTGTCAGGTATCATTTTAGAAAATGCTATGCATGATTCTCGTTTCATCTTACATGAACCGACCAAGAATTTTAATATTGAAAAAATAAGCCAAAAGCTATTCGGGATTTTGAAGAAAGAGGTTCAGATATTGTTCTTGGTTGCTTGTAAGGACATATGATGAGAGTTTCTCTAATGGCTTCAATAAAATTTGATCCATTAGTGTCAACTATTAAATTGTTTTGAGAGCTAATTATTTTACTTGGTTTTTTAATTTTTATAGAAAGACATGTAAGAAAGTAGAGAAAAGCCTTCACTTTTCGATTTTTTAATTTTTTTGGTGGATTCAGAGAACCTGCTGTGACTAAGGTCACAATAAGGGATTGTCGCGTCTCGATAGGTGTTTTTTTAAGGTTTTTTCAATAATTCGAGCCGTTCATATTGTAAGGTTTGTCAAAAATAACATTTATGCAAAAAATTAAGTTAATTGAAAATCTATAACCCTATGATCAGATTATAATTATTTAAAAAAAAAATATTAAGTCATATGAACCATTTATTTTTGTAAAAACAAATATTCTTTTGTTACGGAACTATAGATGTCCAATCAATTTTATTTTTTATACAGCTAATCTACTAAATGGTTCAAATTATCGAAAAAGATTTGAAAAACCCCCCATCGAAGCATCACAGCACGCTACTATCACCTTAGTTCATATCTGTTTGGCTCCATAAATTGCCAAAACAACCCTTATTAGTGTAGATAAAATTTGAAATTTTAAACGACAAAATTCAACTGATAGATCATGAAATTAGATAGATAGATAGGTGGTATGAGTTTACAACCATCTCCTTTTCTTTACTATTGTTTTTTAAGCGACGAAGTCAGTTGTTAGTTATTAAATTAGCATCCTATGAGAGTTATTCACCCTAACTATGCAAAACATCAAGTGCTTACTTTATAATTTAACTCCCCCGTATATTAGCACCATATTAGTTTACAACCATCACTTTATCTTGGGGGTGTTTGTTTCAGCTTTTCAAAGCTAACTTATAGCTTTTAGCTTTGAAAAAGTTATTTTGCACTATTTGGTTAAACTTATTTCAAACAGTTTCTGATTCTAACAGCTTATTTTAACTTAGAAAAGTTGATTCTGAGAAGCTGCTCACCCCTTGTTTCTGATTATCAGCTTCTGCTGTGGACGTGTTAATTTATGATTATACTCTTAGATTTTTTTATTTTTTATTTTTTTTAAAATAGAAAAAGACCCAAATGGACTATAGATTATTATTATTATTATTTATAAGAAATGTGGACAAGTAGTAAATAACAAAAAATAAAAAGTAATTGAAAAAGTTATTTCGCAGCTTATTTAACCAACACTACTCAGCAACTTAAATTTATAATCCAACAGCTATACCAAACAGATTAACAACTTCTGACTAAAGTCATAATCTATAATCTGTTAAGGTATAATCTATAAGCTGTTTTAACAGCTATACCAAACGGAGTCCTTGTTTGGATGCTGCAACTTAATTATCATTAAAACAAATATGAGTTTTAGGATTAAATTTTTTTTGTCAAAAAATAAAAAAATTATTGTAAAAAATATTTGGAAATTAATTCTTAAAATATCAATTCAAAAAGTCAAAAAATAACTTTTACCAACGAAATTTTGAAAATGTCAATAATAAATGCATTATGGACAACATAATTTAGTCCCAAATGGATTTATTTTTGACAAAAAAAAAAAAAATTGGTTCCAAACAGGTAGCAATTTAATACTAAATGTCTAACTTTGTAATTAAAAATAAAACAATAATACTTATGACCAAAAAAAAATTTATTTGGTCCATAAAAAGTAAATTTTTTCTTAAATTTTTGTCTCTAAAACCTTAGGCCCGTTCGGTTTGGGATTCCAAAACAATTTTTGAGAGCCCAAAATTGAAAGTTCATTTCTTTAACTCTATTCCCAAAGCTATTCTCAAAATTATTCTAAATTTATTTCTATTCCCAAAATTATTTCAAATCTATTCCAAATTTTTCTCTATTTGCAAAATTATTCCAAAATTATTCCAAATTTATTTCTATTCCCAAAGTTCTTTCAAATCAAATTTATCTCTATTGCTAAAGCTGCATTAATCTAACCAATATCTATATTGAAGTATGTAGTACATTATATTTTTAAGTTAATCGAATTTTTTGAATGAAACTTTGTAAAAAGTTATTTGTCAATTCATATAAAAATTTAAAACAAAATGAATTTGTATTTTGAATTAATAGAAAAATATTTTTGAAAATAGTTAACATAAAAAAAATGTGTTAAAGTTAAATTTGGACAACTAGTGTGAAATGAGTAAATAATTTTTAAAACTTTGTTTGGTTTTGCAATATTCAAAAACAGTTTTTGAATTTTGAATTCGTATATTTTTATTTATAATGAATTTTATTTAATATACTGGCTTTTTTTTAGATACATCTAATCTAAATATACACTTAGAAATTTTTTTAAAAAAAATGTGAAGAAATTTTTTAAAAACTCAATAAATACAAAAAACAAAATACAAAAATGTATTAAATTTTTGTATATTTGTTAGTATTTTGTGATTTTTTTTCATAAATTTTATATGTTTTAAGTGTATTTAGATTGAGTGAATTTAAAAACTGAAAAAAAATTGATTATGTTCATTACAAATAATAAAATATAGATGAAACTCAACTATTTTTCAAAATTCCAAAAGTAAAAAATTTGACTAATACGAAATACATTTAAATTAGGTGCATCTAAAAAGTTTAAAAAAATACTAAAATACGAAGAAAGTTCATTAAAGACAACAAAACACGAAAAATAAAAAAATTCGAAAACTCAAAATTTAGTTTTAAAAACTCAGAACCAAATAAGTTTTGGATTTTCAAATTTTTAAAAATATACAACCAAACAACTTTTCAAATTTTATAACTTTTTTCAAAAAATTATTTTTAAAAATTAATTTTAAAAATCAAACCAAACAGACCTTAATTTGTTTTTTTTTTTTTTTTTTGATTAGCAAAATCTTTATTGATAAAAAGAAACATACAATTCATATGCGATTACATCAATAAAGAGGTGGAAGTGCAAAAGTATCAAAGCGAACTACCCCAATCTCAACTAGGTTGGCACCAAGAAAAATGCCCTATCATTTGCTGCACAACCACAAAAAGTTGGTGAGAAACCAATACAACACTAAGGAAAAAAAAGAAAGACAGACCACATAGCAGCCACAACATGCCACACCAAACAGCTGCAATCAACAATCCAACTCTGTCCTAGAGGCAGTACTTCACTTGCTACAGGTTGTACATTATAGCATTCACAGAGAAATTAAAAGAGGGGGAAGAGGATCTGAACCATAACGCAATCTTGATTTTGATAGCATCACACAACTCTTCAAAGTCCACCTGAGAGCCATTAAAGAGACTGTCATTACGATGCCTCCAAATAGACCAGAGTACTGCCAACGAAATAATGTTCCAAAGCACCATTTCCTTTTTTTTTTAGTTTTATACCAGCCCACCAAAGAAGAAGGCTACCTACAGACCCAAGTATTGCCCATTTTACTCCCCACCAATCTAAAATTTTGGACCAAATTCTCCAGGTAAAAGAGCAAAACAACAACACATGATTAACAGTCTCCAAATCATTATTACAGAAGATACAGTTCACATTAGACCCTTTACTGAGAACACCAAGCCTTTGAAGAAAATAGGATGTCTTAATCCTACCTTTCCATGATAACCATCCAAAAAACTGAACCCTTGGTGGAGCCACATTCTTCCAAATGAACCCAGCTATTGTGCTAATAACCTTAGAAGATAAAACATTCCAGTTATAAGTAGAGGCAACACTGTATAAACCATATTTATTTGTCTTCCATCTGATACTATCCAACCTACCAAACCTAAGCACTGGTGCATTGAGTAAAAACAAATTCAGCCTCCCCAACTCCTCCAATTCCCACTGAAACAAAACTCTTCTGAAGTTAAGCTTCCATTCTTGAATACCAATTCCCCTGCTCCTCACCCCTGCAACAGTCTCAAATTTGTCCAGAGACACAGAAAATAATCTGGGAAATTCATCTTTTAAACAGGTATTCTCAGCCCAAGTGTCAGTCCAAAACTTTGTTCTCCTGCCATCACCAATGTCCAGAACTATGTTTTGCTTGAAAAAATTCACCAGTTCAGGACACTAGCCAGCAACACCCGCAATATCTCTCCAGATCATAGACAGCTTGTTATTTTCAACAGGTAAAGGCCACCATCCTCTACCAACCTCAGAGTATTTATTGCATATCGCTTGTTTCCAAAGTGCATTATCTTCAATTCCAAATCTCCACCGCCATTTCAACAGAAAACAATTATTCCAAAGTCTAACATTTCTAATTCCTAAACCCCCTTGACTTTTACTTTGAGTCATATCCCCTAATTTAACCAAGTGAATTTTCCTCCTAAGCTCATCTCATCCCCATAAAAATCAAGACTGAATTTTCTCAAGCTCATTTGCAACTCCTTCTGGCATCTTAAACAAAGATAAGTAATAAACCGGTAAAGAAGATAACACTGACTTGATCAATGTCAACTGTAGACGTCCCCGAACGTCCCGAGAGGAAAATCCCCCCCGTTTTGTTCGT